TTCATCTCCAGAACCAGGAAAGCTAGAGAGCTGAAACTTCAAAAGTATGTGTCCGTCACTTATGCAAACCTCCCATTTTAATATTATCACCTGCTTAAACCTGGGTTCCACGTACGGACGCTTCAAAAACATATGCAGACTTTTTGGCTGGAAAGTGATGTTGGGGGTCAGACAAGATAGAGAGCTGGGACTTTGCGGGATGAATGAATGGAACAAATGAATCGTAGTGAGACGGTGAAAAGAGGAAAAGAAGTAGATTGTAAAACGCATATGTGTAATATACAGAATTAAGAAGATGTAAGGAGGACATGTATGGGAGCTAAATGTGAAACTGGTTGTCTGTGTTTCATCCCTAAGCTGCAAACACAGGCAGTGTATGGTGTGGATTGGGGTGGGAATCATCAGTGCAGCCCCCAAACCACCATTTGGAAATTTAGATAACATGGATGCATGGTAGGAGAAAAGCAAAGGAAAGAAAGAAGATAGGGAAGAATAGATGGTGGAAGAATAAAGAAATGAGGGGAGAGGGATGTTTTAAGGAAATAAGAAATAGCTATATAACATAAGCATGCATAGAAAACTAACATGTGTTACGTAGTTGTCGACCTTTGTGCGTTTCGTAGGGGGCTCAGGTTGCGACGACATACTGAAATATTAAGTGAGACGTAGTTGATACAGATTTATAAATTTATCAATAGGGAGCAAACGTGCGCGACGCCAGATTCATCGCAGTATATGTATTTGCTCAGAACAGTTTTATATCTACTCACAAACCTGCGGACAGTAACTTCTAATCTAGAAATATCGAGCCTCTATGAAGGTAGATGCTGAGGAGACGGTGAGACCACCACACAGATCGATCTAAAAGAGAACAAATACGCGCATACCGCAGCATTTGAGACACTAGGATGCCAAATTGAAGACTACGATCAACTTCACTGTGAGCGTCACTATAATGGTTGACGTTGAATGGATAATCGAGGCCTTTATTATAAACGTCAAAGATG